ATCTGGGTTTCTATTTGCAAAGGTGCTGGTGAGCACAGCAAGAGTGGGGCTATGGGCAGAGCAGTTTGACGCATAGGAAGCATACAAAGACTGCCATTTAGGGATGCTTGGTATCAGTCCCCGTAATGGAATAGTCAGAAAGTTTTTAAAGTTCCTAAGCATTGGAGTAGCACTGTGGCAGAAGTTGAGGGAAGTTTTCTTCATTTGATTTTAACCAGAAAAAGTGCTTTTGAATCTCACTTTTCCAAACTTAGTTAAGACAACTAATGTTCAGTGGTGGAATCTTGGAAATTCTGAAAAGGAGATGTATAAGTTTAAACAGAATTTAGATAAACATTTATTTATTTATTTATTTATTTTGGTTTTTTTGAAATGAGGTCTCACTGTGCAATGTAGGCTGGTCTTGAACTCACTACATAGCCCAGGGTAGCCTTAAACTCAAAGCCATCCTCCTGCCTCAGCCTCTAAATTCTGTGATTACAAGCATGTGCCATGAAACCTGGCACAGATAAACTTTAATAATTAGGAGGAAGAGAAGGAAACATAGATGACTGCTTCCATGAAGTGCAAACTGGAAATATAACATCCTATATAAAGAGAACAATACTAGTTTTTCATATCAACAAAGAATTCACCAATAAAGCAAATGCAAAAGACTTTGTACATCAAGATTTTCTTTTTCATACTAAGTGGTAAAAACATGAATGTTTTATTATTCTCTGTGCCTTTTTTCCCTGAAATATCTTATTAAAAAATAAACTTGGTATCATTTTTTTTCATGGCGTCTGTCATTTGTAATCTGAGAGGAGAGGTAGAGAGAAAGGTCTGGGTTCTGATGCCTTCCTCCTTGTAGCGGGAAGGACCAGTTGTCAGGTCCTCTATCTTAGATCACCAACAGTATTCCTCGCGTCATCTTTGCCATCATGGTGCTGTCCTTCCCTCACTGTCCCCTTACCCTCTTGTATTTTTTTCCCTTGACAATTGTGTCCTACAATTTTCCTCTGCCCCAGCTGCATACCAAGGAGTGGGTGTAGTAGAAATTCAATATCCACTGGTATGTGTCATTGTTCCTGAGTCAACTTTGCTTTTCAAAAACACAATATGTTATTAAACAAAATCTCTCCCCTGCTCTGAACAACAGACTATCAGTTGGGTTTTCAAGTGTATATTTAAGAAAATAGTAGCATGTTTAGTCCACTCAGAGGCTAATCACCTGCCAAGGTTTACTGGGCGTTGCTGGGGTAGATCCCCCACCCCGTACCAATTCTTGAATCACATAATGGCAACATTTTGCTCTAAAAATGCTAACTTCTCTTCTGTTGTACTTCTGCTGTTATTCAAAAACAGCCAAATGGATGTTATTGAAATCCAGTCCCAAAAAAGGTTGAAATTGCTCCCCAGCTGGGCCTGAGACCCTGTGTGCCAAATTTCAGCCTAAAGAGAATTCTTATATTTGAGTCACTGTGAGCAGCTGAAAATATGAGGTTTGGGGTGGAAATGCTAACAGACTCTTAACTATCATTTTGCAAACCATGTGATTATAACACAATGCAGACCTCCTCTGGAGCAACTCTCTGGCAAATGCAACAGAAACAAGACGTCTGGGCCCCCAAGTTCTGCCTTTGCAAGCTTCTGCTGGGTTAGCAGCAGGCAGGGGAGACTGGCGATGTCACTGCCACCATGGCTGTTCTTGCTGAGATTAAAAGGAGGGCCCTCTTAGTGAACTCCTGGTACATCACAGAAGTGTGTGCCGCTCATTCCTTTACAGGGCTCCTTGGAACAGCGGTGTGTGGTCACCCTTGCTCATTTTGGAAGTGTTACCACCAACATAGTGCTTGATTCCAATCAGACATGAATTGTTTGCCACCTTTAGTCCCATTGGCTTAGTCACACTTGCTCCCATCCAACTTGGCAAAAATGCCTGCACTGCTTGGCCACTTGCTCCTGTCATCTGGCATTTAAATGTGGGCTGAATCTCTCCTTAGTAACATTCAGGGCCACGGAGATGCTTTGGTTCCAGGCTTCAAACATGTGTTCCAGACGGCAAACGCTCTAATGTAGGTTGAGATTCCACAGACCCATCCATTCATGGGGCCCTCACACCAGTTAAGGTGAATCTTCTAGAGCTTTCAGTGATACAAAGATCCACTGCAGCATGTGTGCCATAGGTTTATCAGCACTGCCAATGCAGCAGCATCAGAGCTGTTCGCAGGCAGCCCCAGTAGGGTGTTGTTTCCAGGACAGGTCCTCACCATGCCTGGGACCGTGAGACCCAAAGCCAAGTTGGGCTGTGGCTAATCTGTTTCTGCCATCCTCCAGCAAGCCTACTTTGAGCAAGAGCATTAACCAAACAGCTGAGGTTCAGTGTCCCTGTCTTCACAATGGGGACAGTACCTGTTTTCTATCCACTTGGAAAGCTCATTGAGTATGAAGGTGTTTTCTAAATTGCAATCTACTATACACATTTTCAAACATGTACTTCTCTCTAGAATCTCATAATAGCTTCAAAATTCTAATCTGAGTTAAACCCATTTGGGGTGAAGTCAACAGGATTGGATTTAAAAGATCTCCTCCCATAAGAAAACAGCAGGCTGTAGCTCCCAAGAACTAATAAATATTTCCCAGATATCAGATATATGCTCTATGAACAATGCACAGTAAGTGAAGACATGGTCCCTAACTTTAGGAATAAGATTTGGGATAAACACAAGATACCTGATAATGAAGTGAGAGAGGCAGCACGGGAGCTCAGGAGCGGAAGTTGCTGTGAGGGCTAGAGAAAACGGGTTGCTTCATGAATAATACATGCGGTAGGTTCTACTGTTTGTGTCTATAGCAGAACTCTTTCTTTAGGGGCAGTTAGTCTTTTGGGGCTGCTATAACAAAATATCTTAGAATGCATAATTTATGGACAGCACACATGTATTTCTTACAGTTTTAGAGGCTGGGAAATCCACGATCAAGATGCCAGCAGGTTCAATGTCTGGTGAAGGCTTGGTATCTGCCTAGTAATTTGTGCCTCACATGGTAGAAGGTCCAAACATGTCCCTCTGGCTTATTTTGTAATAGCACTAGTCCAATCTATAGGACAAAGCCCTCATGAGCTAATCATCTTCTGAGGTCCCCACCTCTTAACGTGATCTTTGTGGCTTAGGTTTCAGCATAGGACTGTTGGGGAGACACATTCAGAACCTAGGAAGGGGAGTTGACCTCCACTTACCATGTGGGTCCGTGGGTTTGCTGGTCAAAAGGCTGTACCTTCTGGCTTCAAATGTAGGCATGTCCTCTGAGCTAAGCCATCATAGTGTCCCATATAGAACAATAGGATGGTACACAATCCAAATCAGGCCAATGAAAACTCTGCCCCAGGATATTATAAATGTAGAGTAAGGGAGGAGACACTCTCTTGTGGGTTATTTATAAGAGAGGGTGTTGTAAGTAGGGACTTCTCAGAGGCCTGTGCCAGCCCCTTCAGTGTGGAGGAAGGGTGTCTGTAATTCCAAGGCATCCTGAGGTGACAGTGGACATGAGAAGAGGAATCGCATAGCATGGTTTGAGTCTTTGGCATCCCTAAGGCAAGGCCTCCTGCTTTTTGTGGAACCAGATTTCCCTCTGCACTCACAGAAGCCTGGTTTGGATTTCCCTCCATTTGAACCAAAAGTCTAAACAGGGAGTAGGATTTGAGTTGTATCTTTTAAAAATGGGTAGGATTTTGATATGCTCTGGGAAGAAGGCAGGCTATTCTAGGCAAGCAGAGCTACTTTAATGGAGGTCCAGAGAGGAAAAATGAGCCTAATATGTATGGACAATCTGAGAAACTCAGCCAGAATGGAGCGATTTAGAAAGGAGAAAGTTGGTATCACAAAGTTAGGTGGGGCCAAGCAGCATGGCACACACTTGTAGTTCCAGCACTTGGGGCGACTAAGGCAGGAGGATTGCAAGTTCGAGCCCAGTTTGGGTAACTTGGATGTAGCTCAGTATGATTACTGTGGGTTCAAGCCTCCAGCACCACAAAAAAACCTAAACCCAACACAAAACAAAAATCACATCAGATAGACTATTAAAGGAGAGGCAAGTTTGAGAGTTTTTTTAAATCTAGGTAAGAGTTAAGGCTTGATTAGGAAGAAACAAAGTTTTAAACTTTTTTTTTTTTTAAGAACAACTATATTTATTTAATGGTAACTTTAAAAAAAAGTCTGTTGTATTAAGTCTTCTCAGGCTGCCATGACAAAATCCTACAGATTGGCTGGGAAATTAAGAGATATCTATTTTCTCACAGTTTTGGAGGATCAAATTTGGCAAATTTCGTTTCTGGTGAGGGCTCCCTTCCTGGCTTGTAGTGGTGCCTTCTCCATGGGCTATCAGATGGCCTTTCACTCATGCCGTTTGGGAGCACTTGGTATCTCAGCCTGTACTGTAAGGGAAACCAGTTCTATCAGAGTGAAGCCACACTCTTATGTTAAAACTTATTTATTCTTAACTAACTCCATAAAGGCCTATCTCCAATTCACAGTCGCACTGGGGGCTGAGACTTAACATGTAATGTGAACAGGGTAGCACAATTCAGTCCATGATGTCTATCAAAAGTAAGAGCAGGAGAAAATGAAGGTCATGGGGACATCATACACAACTGAATCATACACAACTGCACGCACACACACACACTTGCATGCATATACACATCAGGGAGGGCAAAAACCATCCCAAGTACTTAGAAGAAAAACCCAACCAAGTCTAGTCATGTTGAAATATGCATATCCAAGACCAGCACTTCCACTTTGAGTTTGAAAAGACTTTTGCACCTGTACAGCATGAAGTTCATTCTAAAATGACTATTACAGTATTATTGTTTTTTTCTCTATGGTATTGGGGATTGAACCTGGGAGTGCTCTTCCACTGAACTGTATCCTCAGACCTTTTTAGTTTTTTGTTTGAGACAGGGTCTCACTACATCGCACAGGCTGGCCTTGAACTTGCAATACTTCAGCTTCAGTCTCCCAAATAGCTGGGATGACAGACATGTGCCACCATGACTGGCTATAGTATTATTTTTAAGATAAAAAAATTAGGAGCAACTTCAATACTAATCAAAAGGTAAAACAAAATAAATTTTAGTATATTTACACAATCAACCTTAGATAGCCATGGAAGTGAAAAAATCTAGAAATACATATGTAAAACTTTGAGTAAATTTAAAAGGTAATAATGTTGAGCAAAAACAAAATCAAGATAATAAGGATAATAAGTCAGAGGAGGGCTGGAGCTGGCTCACACCTATTGGGGTTATCTCTTTCCAGCTCCTGTTCCTTAACTTTAGGTGGTAGGTTGAAAGTGGCTATGGTGAAAGTGTTTACACTAGGGAAATCGGCAGACACTTGAACCCAAGTCTCCCCCACCCCAAGAGTCATTTGTTAAATACTTACCAGGATATCACTGGATAGTATGTTTATGAATATTAAAGTATTTAAAACAACACACCATATACGGACTAGCATTTGGAAACAATACATACCAGATATAGATAACTTCTTCAGAGGAAACAGAGGAATGCAATTAGGGAGGGATACACAAGAGCTGCAAGTAAATTTGAAATGTTTTATTTCTTAAGCAGGGCACACGTGTTAGTTATTGTATACTCTGTACTTCTTATTTTCTGAAATATCTAGCAAGTCAGTGACATACAGGAGCCAGTTCTCCACAGAGCACGTGGGTGAGGAAGGGCAGGAGCTAGACATGGTGTCCGTCCTTGTGCCACCTGCTATCTCTGCTATCTCTGCAGCAAGGCTAGATCTTTGCACTCAGATTTGCCCACAGGGAGTTCCGGACGAATTTGTGGTATCTCTGGCGTTGCATGCAGTGTCACATTTAGTTCTGAGGTTCTTCAGAGACAGTAATAAAACAGTGAAGAGGTGAGAGAATCTGAGGGGGGTGCCTTCACGTGGGGAACATGCTCCTTTCCAGAGGATTCAGCTCTCTCTCACCTCTGTAGACTGCCCAGCAGGCAGCGGGTATTTTTGGTTACAGGCAACAAACAGAGGATATACAGTACAGGTGTATATTTTTCACCAGCTTGGGTCAGAAAGAGAGCTCAGGTTCTTCTAGAAAGCGGTGAGTAGGGAATGTTAAGGACAGACCCACAGTTACCACCAGTCAGGAAATGTTGGCAGGGAGTGGCTTTGTTCCTAAGGAAAGATCTAGCCCTTCTACTGGGGATTCTGCCATGTTTTCATTCTGAGGTGAGGTGGTGTAAATTACCCTGTGTCATTTACATAGCCCCTTCCTCTTGAGGCAAGTTCATATAGCATTTATGGACTGGTCTGGATTGTGTATCTCTACCTGATCTCCCTTCACCCTTTCCTACTGAGATACTTATAGCATGCTAAGCATACCAGGCCTGTTCTGCACACACTGTTCTCTTAGCCTGGAACACTCCACCTTCCAACAGCCCTTCTATGTGTTTAAGCTCTTTCTGTGGGAAAACTTTCCTCCCAGCCCTCTGCAGGAGCAGAGTTTCTCTGTCTTCTAGTACATGCCTTCATCTTTTCACACACAGCATGTCCAGGACTGACCTCCTTCCAGAGAAGTATCCTGTGTTACTGTCCCAGGCTCAGCACAACCTGGCAGAGATGTTAAATAGATGTTTACTAACCAAGAAAGGAACGAGAGAGGAAAAGAGTGAACAAAATAAAACAAGGCCTAACTCTTCACTTCTCATGACATCTTCTCCTTTAGTCACTCTTCCTCTGTCGAACTGTCTGCTAACATCATGCAGAGTTCAACTGTACACAGAGAAGCAAGGCAAGAACAGAGGCGAGGGTGCCAGATAGGAAACAGACACTAGTCAAAAACACAAAAGGCACAATTGCATACTTTTGTGAAACTTCATTTTACCCCAGTGTGGTTTGTGGGAGATAAACCACCCAATATACAAAGGCTCAAGGTGCATAGAAGACAAGGGTCAGGGGTGACAACAAAGCTCATGGTCCCCGCTTCCCCCTCAGCTGTGAGCCTCTTCTGCTCCTTCTGTGTGTGTTGCCTGACTTGGTCTACAGTCTCCTGAATCACTGTCAATAGCCAACTATTTCATGTGTGTTAAGCCTTGAATTCTGTTCTGAGTACAACTATGGTAGGTTCCACTAATTAATTAAATTGTACTTCATAGACTTGGAGTCAGGTCTCTTGCATACAAGATGCAAATTTATGCAACATATGCAAATCACTCATGTTCTCAAATTCCATGAACAAAATCTGGTAGCCTTGAGATAAAAAAAACCCCTGCCAAGCATCATCTCTCCTAATTATTGCTTAATTTCCCCCCCTTGAACATTGAACTAACACTTTCAGGCTTGGCAGAAACTGGAAGAAACACAATGAAAGCTGGTTAATAAACAGGAAGTTCCTTAAGGGCAAAGACCCTGTAAGCTATTTATTTTATGTTCTCCAGAAGCTCCTAATATACTATGAGCACAGTCTTGCACAGGGTATATATTAGTCTTGACGACTAAATTATGGACAGTTGAGATGAACCAAAGTTGAAAGCCCTGCAAGCTTTGCAAAATACTATGGCATTTAAGACTAGAAACAGGAAAATTATGTGCCGTGGCTATTTCATGGAATTATTTTAAAAATTAATTCAAATTAAATAAAATTTTAAAATTCAGTTCTCAGACTAGCCACATTTCAAATGTCTCACAGCTACATGTGGCTGTCTTATCACGCACCAAAGATACCGAATATTTCCATTGTTACGCAGAATCTGTCAGGCAGCACCGATCTAGACACTTGCTACACGAGCTCTGGTCCTGGGACAGCAGGACAGCAACATGTGGAGCTTCCCGACAATGCAGGATCTCAGGCTGCATTACAGACCACTGAGTCAGGATCTAGATCTTAACAAAATCTTCACTTAATTCACCTGCATTTCAATGTGAGAGGCACAAGGTGAACACTTAATTCAGCTGCATTTCAATGTGACAGAGGGACAAGAGAAGAACTCAGCAAGAATATGGAGTCAGAGATCAGAGCTACATGGCTGCAGTCAAGGAACACCTAGGAATGCCAGCCAGCCAACAGAAGGTAGGAAGAGGCAAGGAAGTAGTTACTTCTCTGTTTTAGAGAGTGCATGACCCTGCTGTCAACTTGATCTCAGACTTTTAGCCTCCACATGCATTGTGGGAATTTTTAAAGGCAGTCCTAAGAGACAAATACACCTACTGAATGAGAAACTTTCATAGTTGGGGTCCAACATTCTGTGTTTCATAAGCACTGTAGGTGATTTTCATGAATGTTTATAAATTTGAGAACCTTTGTGTTACGCCATAGAAATAACTGTTCAAATGTGCAGAATTTGAAATAACTGTTCTCAAATGTGCAGAATTCCCTCTTTCCTTCCTTCTTTTCTTCTCCTTTCTTTCTTTTTTCTTCTGGTTTTCTAGATGGGCTCTTGCTATGTTGCCCAAGCTGGTCTTTGACTCCTGGGCTCAAGCAATTCTCCTTCCAAAGCCTCACAATTAGCTGGGATTATAGGCACGTGCCACTGCGCTCAGCCAGCATTCCATTTTAAAGCATGTCTGAAAGATAGTTATCCAGTTTGTTCACAAATACTTCCAATGGTAGGGTTTGCATTACTAGCATAGCAGCCATCTCTATGATTGTCCCTGTGAAAATGCCTGCCCTAGGAACTTTATGAATATCTGAGATACGTATGTACTGTATATATAACTGATGACACCAAATGTATTGCTATTAAATTCTACATTTCCTCTGTGGAACACAGTTCTCAGAATTCTCCAGGTTCTGACTTGATTTTGAGGCACTTGTTGAGGCTTTTAGGGGTAGTAATTATGCCCATACTGATTATAAATTAATCAGAAATAGACACAGATGATGATCAAAAGATCAGACTTATTTCCAATAAACACAGACAGAATTTGAACTATAGCCTTAAGATCCTTCCTACTATTCCCTGGTGAATCTAATTTATCTGGCATAGTTACAGAGACGCAAGACAGCTCAATCTACACTTCTGAGAGGTATCGACGATGAACTACGGCTGTTACCACAGAGAGGGAGACTCTACCGTGGGGAGAGATCAGGTTTTCTGAAAGAGAAAAGCAAAGCCACCTAACTTCACTTGCTAGGAGCTCATCCACCCAAGAAGACGTTGCTTCTCCCAGGATTGCCTATTTAGAACCCGTTCCCACTATTTTCCTCCTTTGGGGCTGAGGATATAGCTCAATTCCACAAGCGCCTGCCTGGCAAGCTCAAGGTCCCGAGTTTGATTTTGGATACCAAAAAAAAACAAACAAAACTATTTTCCTCCTTTCAAACAGAGCTCTGATGCTATTGATACCCTCCTTCATTGTTGCCAAGTATCTCAAAGCCCACACTATCCAGCCTCAGCTCAAGCCTGTAACAGCAGTGCCAATCTCCTTGCAAGTGATTGGCTCCTGAATTTCAGCTTCAGCCAATCAGTGCCTGTCATTACTCAATAGTCTGCTCTATAACGAGGGTGGCCCAATACTAACCGCCGTTAGCAGACCGAGATGAGAACTTGGTCTCATATGTTAATTATAACATATTTGTTCTACCTTTGCATTTTGTCATTATTATCAAATATCGTAATTTTCCTATAATTAACGCCAGTTATGTTACTCTCTCTTCCTTTACAGCTAAAATAATTCTTATCAATAAAATACTCAAATACTGTTCCTTCAGGCTAGTAGAAGTCACCTCATGAAATCTGAAGAAATTAGACTAAGTCTGCATGCATCAGTGCTCCAGTCTTATGTGTTAATGCTGCTTTTAAGGTATGTGCCCTTAATTTCATAGATTACTGCAGGAACTGAGCCACCAAGACCCAATATGATACCTGCCACAGAATATAAGCAAAACAATCATTTGTTGAACAAATACAGTTGGAAACTAAATTATAATTTTTAGCAGATGCATAATAATTGTTTTATATGAGGTTCAGATAAACCAAAACCCCTAAAATGGTTTACATAAATTGATGTCAAAACTGTTTGTCTGGACCTTGTGTCTGGGTCACTGTGTGTCAACAGAGTTAAAAAAGTTTCTTTTTAAACCAAACTAAAGGTGTAATTTAGTGCCAGAGATATAGCTCAGCAGCTCAGAGCCTGCAAGGTCCCGCGTTCAATTCCAAGTACCCCCCCTCCCGCCCGCCAAAAGGTAAAATTTATTGCTGTTCAGTTGCATCTAGGAGATTCCAGCCTAGGTTGCACTTAGTTAAAATAACTCTTGTGTTTTTTGAGACCGGATCTCCCTATATAGTTGAGGCTGGCTTTGTACTCACTATGTAGCTCAGGCTGGCCTCAAACCTGAAGCAATCTTCCTGTCTCAGCCTCCTGAGTGCTGAGATTACAGGTATGTGCCACCATGCTTAAGAGTTTACATATCTTTAGTTTCCACGATTCCCACATTTCCCCTTTTGTGAAAATCAGATTCTTTCCCCGCTATCTTGAAGCCATTCCTTTGAGACAAATTTTGCTGAGCTTGTCCACTGTGGTGGATGAATGACACTTGAATTTTCTTCAGCCCTACGGAGTATAATTCCCAAGGTCAGGAGACAAACTCAGAATCAACCAGGTGAACTCTTACCAAATCACACATCTTTGGGTAAATTAAGCTATGGCAGTTGTCCCTCAAAGTTTTCAGCCATCAAGATACATGGCAGGTTATTTTGCTAGAGTACTTGGCTCTGGGCCACTGTCATAACTGTAAGTAGCATGAGCCTCCATGCACCACACGTGCCAACTGCCTAATGGCTCCACCCCCGCTGTGTACTTCGTGTTCTAGCTTCTATCTCACCACAGTGACAATGACTTCTCTGTCTTTAAGAAAAGATGTTGAAAAAAAAGTTACCTTCCAGTGTAACAAAAGAAAAAAACATCTAAGAGAAGATGGCATTCTTGAATTTAGAAATTTGTGGCAGCCTTGAATGAAATGCCTCCTGACTGTCAGGGGGTGTATATACTTGGTAGTATAATGATTTATTAAGGTATTGATCTGTGTCATATATTTTGTGATTTTTATCCTTCCATCATTCCAAGAAGGTGCTGGACCTTTGCTTGGCAGAAGCTGAAGCAATTTTGATATAGGGGAAATGCTAGATGTCAAATACGCTGAGTGTCTGTCCCCTGAAGCTGAAGAAGGAATTTTAAGGAACAATGGAGGTTGAGTAGGAAAATTTATTGGAGAAAAGGAGTGGGGAATAGGAATGGGGGAACAGGGAATAGGAATATCTCTTGAAGGAAAGGAGGGGTCCCAAGTGGGTTGCCAACAAACCCACCTCTCAGAGCAAAATCATGAGGCAGGTACAACAGGGTCAAAATCATGATCAACCCATAAGATTGCAAGTATAGTTGCTTAAGTAATATTGATCAGTGGTACCAAGGGGACATGGGTGACATCCTTACCCTTAGACGATAATGTATAGTCTTAGTCTTGTCTTTAGTCCTAGTCTTAGTGGTTTTAGTCTTAGTCTTCTAAGTAGGAGAGGACGGTCCACCCCTAATGAGATAATGTGGGACCCCTAAAGGGTGATACCAAAGTACCAGAGCCCTAGGACGTGCAAAGCCTGGATCCTGGAGTTACTGCTTGGTGGAGAGCTGCCCAGAATCGCCTCCTGGCCATTAGAGTTTTTGTGAGTAAGGAACAAATTACCTGCCACGACAATGTAATTTAGAGGATTTTGGGTTTTTTCCCTTTGCACAGAATTAGCTTTAATTGCCTGGCTAGTTCACATGTCTTACCCTCCTTTTCCATGCACCACACGTGCCTCCCAAGTGCTTCCAGGAGGAGAGACGACCCGGTAATACCTGAGATTGAATTTCAGTCGGACTCTGAGAAGCTTTTCATTTGCTTGGAAGAATAGAAATTATTTGAAACAAAATAACATTGTAGACTAGGAATTTTATCTCATTTCTCCATCTGAAAAGGCATAAAGTGAGGAATTCTGGCTTCTCTAACAGGCAAGGTCCTCAGCACAAACTTCGTGTGTGTGGCTGTTCCCATTTTAGCTTCCTGGCCACCTGTCCGCCACCCTTTAATCTGAGACCTTCCAGGGGTGGCCAGGAGTCTAGGGCGGCAAACAGGTAAGCTTTTCTTTCAGGACTTTTGCTCCTTCAGGCCATTAATTAGATTGAAATTTCTACTTCAGCTGTTCTGCTCGTCTCTAGCTAATGCTGTCGCCTGAAATACTGCCCACCACACATGAGCTTTGACAGCAAGAGCCGCTCAAAAGCCTCTCCACGCCTCTGTTCCAGGAATAACCCAAGGGAAGGGTTGCTAACTGTGAGAGTTAAGTGGTGAAGCCCTCTCTGTCCACCGCTTCAAAAGCGTAACTGCCATCGTCCGCCTTATTTTGTATTATAGCTGCTCTTTGTCAATGAAAAGTCCCAGCTCTCTATTCATTATAAAGAAGAAAGAGCTTTTTAAGTGTGAGATGCTAAGCCCAGAAGGGAACAGAGCTATTTTTAAAGAAGGCTTCAACTCTGAGCTGTTCCACGGGGCCAGCCTGCCAGTGAGGCAGGTCTTCCAGGGAGGCCGAGGCAGTGGCAGCTCCCTCAAGGGGGAGTCAGGAAGGAAGCTCCTGGGGTGGCAGAGAACCCGCTCAGGCCACAGATAGCCCCGCTGGCTCCTCACCTGCTCTTCCAGACAGAGCCACAACGGGCCAGGCCGGGGGAGGACGTTTCATTCTCGCCTGCTCCAGGTTTCTCACATCCACTTCCTCCACAGAGGAAACAAGCTGCTCGTTCCGGTCTCGGGACACGGGGAGGAGGGGCCTGGGTGTCCTCTCCTATCTTCGTCAAGCCATATGCAACTGGCAGCCACCACGCTTCTCCGCAGGAAGAGGATAATCAGAGCTGGATTCCCGAATGAGAGGAGGAGCACGCAGAGCCGCCCGCCTCCTGTCCAATTGCAGTGAAATCCACCCAGGGTGGAGCTGGCCAGAGCTGTTTCGAAGTCGCGGAGACCGGGTCCCGGAGTCAGGCTTAGGAACGCGGTTGCTGGTTCGAGGCCCACGCCCTCCCCGAGGGAGCAGTGAGGATCATGGCTCTTTCCTCTCCGCATGGTCACCTGTCACTCTGCGGGTGATCACTGTTCTGAAGTTGGCCAGATGTGCGTTTTCCTGTCGTTCAAGGTCGTAACACGGCGCCGCTGGATGCCGGAGAAGACACTGAAAGCTGATAGAAACCACTCAAGGCTCAAGAGAACTGAGACGTTGTTTCCAACCCTCCCGTTTGATTCAGCTTCTCCACCAGAGCCGAGGGGCGGGGAAGTAAGGCAGTTCCACCGGGAGTAAGGTAAAAACCATGTATGTGTACCAATATAGTGAGAGAACCGAAGGGACCGCAAATGTTACACCAGAGTAGTTGAAGGAAACAGAAACTGACTTGATTACAATACATCTTGTACCACAGAGAATTTATGAGAGCCTGTAGAGACACAGTTCAGTAAAAGTGTTTTTTTATTTTTAAGAAAAAAATTTATACCCAGGAAAAATATAGGCAAAATAGGATGATTAGATTTAAAGGAAAAGTTGTGTACATATACAGAAGATAATAAGATTTCATTATAAGATAATAAGATTTCAAAAATGAGGCAGCTAATAAGGCTCTGAGCTTCCAGGAAGCCAAAGGAAAAAGGGAAATATGATCACCAAATTTGCATCTTTCGTGAGGACCCCCCTCACTACCAATTCCTCATTCTTTTTATCATAAGATTCATAAGCATGGGTATTTATCTTCATGCAGAGAATATTTAGGAAGTTTCATTATGGTCTTCTTCAAGTATTTGATGGGCTGCCAAGTACAAAAAGGAAAGATTGCTTTGGGTAATTCCAGATCACAAAACTAGAATCAATGAGTGTAAGTCAGGAGGAACAGATTTTGGTTAAAAATAAAGAACTTTCTAACAATTAGAGTTGTCCATAAATGGAATGAGCTGTCTGGCAAAGAAGTGAGCTCCCTGTTACTGGAAGTGATCAAACAGAGGCTGGCTAACCATCTGTTAAGGATGAGAAGGATTTCTGCATAATGAGAGAATTATGCAACAACATAATATGAGGCTCTTCATGACAGTTTTATTTATAATAGTGGGGGGGGAATAGAATCAACCTAAATGCCCAACAGTAGGGGATTAGTTATTTAGAGTACTTTCTTATGACTTATTTATTTATTTACTGATTTTACAGATATTAAAATAGCAAAGACATGGGGGAAATGCTGGCAATCTACTACATAAAGAAAAACAGAGTCCTAAAATAGTAATATATTGTGAACCATTTTGTGAAGAAAAATTGTGTACAGAAACAATACTAAAGAGAGCACATACATAAAAACATTAATAGTGGTTAGCATTTGCATTTTGGGTGATTTTTCTCCTGTAGGCTTTTCAGGCTTTCCCAAGTTTTCCACTTTAAGTACTTACTGCTTTTATTATTATTTTTTGTTTTTTTTTGTTTTGTTTTTTGAGGCAGGCTGGCCTTGAACTCACTATGTAGCCCAGGTTGACCTCAAACTCACAGCGATCCTCCTGCCTCAGCCTCCCGAGTGTTGGGATAACAGGCATGCACCTGTAAAAAGAAAGACAAAAGTAAAAAAGAAAAATACAAAAATAAAAACAAACAGCCCTTCATTAGTCCATAGTTTTAACTAAAATGGTCCATGTTTTTCAAGTTTAATACTATATCCTATGGTTTTATTTTAAACTTGGGTTGACTTCTCTCTCTTTTTTTGTTTTTGTTTTTGAGATAAGGTCTCACTCTGTAGTTCAGGCTGGACTT